TTGTCATAACAGCTAAACTAGCTGTAACATATTATACTCACTTACAATAAATATTCAAATACACATGTATACGTACTATTATACGATAATACATCTTCTTTTCTAAACCTCTATTCCATGTCTACATGCAACGAAGTGAAATAAACTTCCCTATAATTTTTACAATATTAAAATAATTTATAATACGCTATTATTCACATCAATTTTATATAATAATTAATAACAGTAGTAAAAGAACAAAATTGATTATTTAAGAGTGGGCAAATAAAGTTTATTTCAATAAAAATTATGTTTATTGTCTTCAATAATAATATGGTACGATTATTGTAAAATCATTGTATTAAAATAAAAACATGTAATTTATGTTATATACTTGTATCTACGTACATTTATTAAAATATATAATATTTGGGCAATTAAATTGTGTAATTAGTACTAATATATCGTGTTCGGAATTAAGAGAATTTCGAATATTTTATTATAGTTAACGGAAAGTAATAATTAAATTATTAAACGTTTGCGTAATTTTGTATTTAAGGATGCATGTTATCCAATTAAATTTACAGTCCATTTACTTACTGGAAACGATTAGTAACTTACTAAATTCATTGACATTGGTCATGTCCGCCAATGGAGTAGATACCTAAACGTTTACAGAATTCAAACGAACTTAGTTTGTTCCGGACCGTACCATATGCTCGATTGCCATCAGTGTGTTATGAAAATGTGTTTTTCTAGAAACTACAGCAAGAGATTGGTTTAATAACTTATTAGGAGTTGTAGTCTGCATTCAGCTGCAGCACCGGTAACCTAGTGGTTTAGCACACCGCTTTACTTCCGATGGTCGCGGGTTCGATTCCTCGCACGTAACAAACATTTGTACTCGTATTTGTATAAGTATGACGGTTTGTATGGGTCTGGGTGTTTTCTATGAATTTACAAAAAAAAGTGTGACTTGTTCAAGAATATTATTATTAACTGGGTATATTGTTATTGTGGTGTAAAAACTGAAATTAAGTAAAAAGTAGAAATTAAGCGAAACAAAATAGATTACTTTTTATCCAGTGAATTCTGTATCGAAATAAGATTAAGCCATTCTTCTCCGTTCACTTTATTTTGTAAAGGTCTTTATGCTTGTCAAGTTTACATCAACAATGCGAAAAGCGTGAAAGCCAAGTCGGCGTTTTCAAAAGGGTTTTGGAATTTAGCGACGATTTTCCAGTCGTTGCACTGAGAAGATGCAATACGAATAATCATTTGGAAAACGTGGTGAATTGACGTCGGCACGCGACGAACTCGTCCAACCGGTGTTACCACTCTCGCTGATCTTTTCTCTAATCGACTGACCGGTACTCGATTACCGGACACCGACTGCATAACTTGCTACAATTTTTATTCGAAAATAAATTTAATGAGTACCCTTATATGTATATGTATGATTAACTAGAAGGGTTTATATACCTACGGATAGAGTTGACCCCTGGTTTTCTGGATGTGATATTTCATTATGTGGAGTATTGTCATGTTTTTAATAAATTGTGACCGATGATCCAATTACTGATCGCATATCTAATGTTATATATTACCTATCAGTGAGAATATAAATAATTTATATCTTATTATTAAAATATGAACGTTAAAAACTTCTCGGTTTCTCAAATAAATTCATAGAATTCATAGCTTATTTTATATTATATATTACGTTTTTATTACTCACGCGAAAAGTTTCCTTCCTTATAATTTCGCACGAAAAATATATGTCAAAGATGTGGTCAACAGTTGTCTATAACTTTAAAAAATATTTTTATATAACATCACAACTATAAAAATATTGATAACCAAATATGGACGTTTGAAATATACGAATACTCATTCTAATGGTTGAGAATATGGCTTGGTATTTATTTGATCTGAATTTGTAATAACACATATCGCACAAACCATTTAGTATCAATTAGAAATCCTAATTGGGTCTTGTATACGTAATACTGGGATTATAACAGAAAATAATGTGATAAATTATTGTGTAACTTATACGAGTTGCAAATAATAGAATTAGAATTCCATGAATAATTAAAAACACAATTATAATGACATAACATAGTGACATGTGTCTTTCATATCTAGAAATTCCCAATATATTGCTTAAAAAAGATGTTTAGAGAATAAACGTATATAGAAATGGACTTTAATATCAATGCGTATAAATATACAAATTTACAACAGGTATATATTGTATAAGAAAACGTTCAACGACCTTGATAGTGTAGTGGTTGAATTTAATGCTCTCTTTTAATGGGCGTCTGTTCGAATCCCGTACCTACTTTATAAACATTTACGGCCTCGGTGGTGTAGAGGTATAGGATACCGTTTTTCTTCCGAAGATCGCGGGTTCGTTTCTTCGCATGGTATTCAATGTAGGATATGAAAATATTCAATTAATATAATACTTTGTAGTTTTAACAGTTAACTTCCTTCAAGATAGAGAAACTGCAAGTCATATTTAATTTTTATTTAATGAATCATAGACTTTTTATTGAGTTAGGTCTTGCACTATTAAGAATAAATTATACTGCGATTGTCAATATTTAAAAGTCATTATTACAAGCTTATAATGTCCGGTGAGGGCAATCAAATATTACAAATTATATTTAACCTACTTCCCGATATTCAATTGAGCTGAAAATTTGCTTATACGTCGCATGACAATGCAAAATTATGTCATCATTGTATTAGTCTTGGTTATATATAGACTTCGAAGATGGCAATAAAAACTTTTGAATAAAATAATGGAACCAATTTCAGCTCTTTCAATGATCGCGGGTTCGATTCCTTGCACGGTACAAACATTTGTATTAATGAGTTTTACTATTATAATATGTTTTCGGTCTATGTATATTATGTATGTAATAATTATATGCATAAGGAATGCACGACATAATTTGACCGAAAGGGTTTTATTAATGTATTCTACATTAATAAATACTTATTGATTATATTTTTTTTAATTGCATATGATAGATGGTTACTAGGATGGTACTGATCCTAGTTACCATTTAAAACTACACTAAATTTAGTTTTTATTTTCATATATGTAAAAGTCTGTCTGTTTGTCACGATTAAACAGCTGGACGTATTATAATGTTTAACGTAAAGATGGATTGTACCACAATATATACGATCTTTTATTTCAAAAAAGGTACACCAAAACAATAATAGAGTAATAGCATATAGATAATTTTACATTATTTTACTTATACTCTTTCATGTGATTAGTCAAAAGTAACTGGAATAAGACATCTGCAGGAATATCAATATTTGTATTATTGGCAATCAGTAATATCCACGGCCCTGTCAACTATTGGAGTTCTAGAAGTTTCTGGGTCAATAGAATTGAGAATCACGTTCTTTGGTCTTTTATTCGCCGACTGTCTACCGTACTACTTTTACTCATTGTGAGGAAATGAAATTTCGTGATTTTATCAACGAGAACTGTTAATTTCTTTTATAACACTGGCTGATATGAATGAGCATAAAAAATATAAAACAATGTTATATGTCAAGGTAACTACACACAAATTAAAGTTATTCTCTCACAATTCGGACAAATAACGGTCGTACACAATGCGTTCGTAGTTTCGAATAAAACTGGGTTCTCACAATTGGATTAGCGCAAATAATAACTAGCAATTTGCTTACCAATTATTTTTTTAATTATATTTATAATGTTTTTAATTATTTAGCATAGTTGAAAATGAAACGATAAACTAAATATCTACACCGTATGAAGATTTGTATTTTAGGTAAAACTATTTACTCGTTAAGAATTTCTCTAAAATGTTACAAAAAAGTTAAATCTATTTATATTGTTATACTACTAGTAGATAAGGGTTGAAGTTCGGTAATCGCAACGGTTGAGAAAGACGAACACACAGTAACCCCTTACCCCATTTCTGGTCATCCCTTGACGTTGCAGTATAGTAATCAATAGTAGTTATTACATTTTTTTGTACTTTTCTTTCCAGTTACTTTTTGTACTTTTCTTACTTTATAAATTTGTAAAAAGTGATGAAACAATTCAATGGTTAAAATTATTGAATAAGTTAAAGTTTTATGAATAAATGAGGTTAATATCTAAAATATTTTTCAATGAATGGTCGATCAGCTCAGTTTAATTGTCTAGTGTAATGATATTAAATTATTTCAAAGATACTCATCATGGTATTGAATTGTTCGATAACGGAAACGACCCTCAAATATATTTAGTGTCACGCAATCTTAATAATGTTTATATTGACTTGATGTTGAAAGAAAGACGCGACATTAAAATTTTACATTTTATTATAGTATAGTGTTACTTTGTTTTGTTTTTGTTTGTTTTATTTAGAAATATTATGTTATTTACATTTTTTTTAGGTCAATAATAATACAATTATAAAATCATGACAAGTAAATAATAGATAAATAACATAAAATTAATTTTACTTTCTTTGTTTTGTGTTCAATATTTAATTAGATTAATTAATATTATTAGACAATTTATAGCAATATACCATGCATATATATACATATAATATATCATATAATTTAATAGCTATTTGTTTGTATTAAATAAATGTAAATATTATTTTTTTATTTCATAGTTGTCATAATATCTGGTCGCATAAGAAATGATCGAATATTATGTCACCGCTAATATTAAAATTAATTTATTAGTTTTGGAACACAATTGTAAATAATAATATTAATACAACAGCATAAATGTAATTAAAAAAAAATATCCTGTAGTGGGTATCTAAAGAAAAGTTACACACTTTATAGATATTTTAGACACAAATCTTGCGCACGCAAGATGCAATATGCAGCCTACATTATTACTAACTAAATATAATTTTATCATACATTGATACTGATAAAATAATATTTATTGTTTAAAATATGGGAGCATATATATGCATAATAATTAGCAACAATTAGTATAATTAATGAATGTTAATTACCTTGCGTCCGCTTGGGTACCACTCTCACTCCGATCGCATTTTCAGTCACAAGACACAAGGATATTGCCAGTAAACAGTACCTCGCACTGCACCCCATGTTAACACACAATGTCTGCCGCCTCTCAGTTCAAAATATTATGTAAAAGGCCACTGAAGCACGGCGCATTTGATCGACACGTTGTCGGCGTTAATATCTAAACACGTCGTATATAATCACTTAAACAAACGGTACCGACACACGCCCGACGATTGTCGACGAAGGAGTGGACCGCCCGACTACCCTATATTTTGACTTATAGCAATTTGGAAGTGCGAATTCCACTTGTATATAAAACCTTTCGCCGGCTCTAGGCGGGCGGTCATTGGTCGTGGTGCGGCGTGCGGCAAAGGTGAAGGGAGTTGGAAGTGGCGCCCCCCCACGCGTGAGGGGAAACGCCAGGGTCGGCACCGCAGACACTTTTGCTATCGTCGGTGCGCGATAGTTATCACGCTGCACAAGCTGTCCCGTTGTACTCCATTTCTTACGTCATATGCGCAAGCGCCGACGGTAAATTGTTATGATACATTTTTTGTGGATCCGAGTAAACTGTGCTCGATAATGTAACATGCAATTAGCTTTGTTGATAGTACGTAATATGATAATTGGAGATACTGAAAACATTAAATCTACTAAATAAAATAATTATTTTTCTTAGGTAATTTTGCTCGTCTTCATTATAGAGGGTTAGATTTTTAAAAAGAGAAAAATTCATCGTCATTCATTCATCAATCGAACTATGTATATTGTAGTAAAGTACCTACAGTAACTATTATATGGAACGGTACTCGAGTGGTTACTACTTCTCATTCCTGTTGCTTGAACGACAGATAAGAAGAGAAAAAAGATCGCCGCAGCAGTTCGCTTGCCATAACAACAGAATATATAATAGTACTGCAATAATAACTACGTTATTTCTACCATGGTTGTAGAAAACTGTTCTCAAAAGAATATTGTTTGTATAATATTCTTCGTTAAAATTGTCTAAAATATACCTATCACTTATTTATTTTATTGAACTCGTATTACAGTTAAATAAAGTAAATGGGGTTTGAATCATTCTACGTCTACATTGCAAGTTTTCAAACTTAGAAACTAGCAAACTTTAATACTTGAGTTCACTTTTAAATATTTTGTTTATATGCCATGCTTTGAACTTGGAAGTTCAAAGCATGAAACTTGGCAGAGAAATTATTACACACTCTGAGTGAAGTGAAGAACTTTATGCCACAAAAGTCAACAGCCTGCATTTAATGTTTCTACTTAATTACAAGGACTCAATTATTAAGTTATATAAACTTTTTTTTTTACTTTTTTTTATACTAGTACTATGGTGGCAAGTAAGCATACGGCCCATCTGATGGTAAATGGTTACTGTAGCCTATGGACGCCTGAAACACCAAGGGTGTCAAGTGCACGTTGCCGACCCTTAAGAAACCTTAATAGGGTATATTATTCTTGAATTTTATGCAGATCATTATCAAAATTTGATTTTCTTTTACCGAGCTACGTTTTGTATAAAATTATCTCCGTGCGTACATCTATCTCTTTGATTTCAGCTGGTAAGAAGCTTGCTCATACTTCATCTCTCATTACTCCTCCATTCGTTATGTCAATAACTCTGACATTAATATCTCCATAATTCGATATCTCAATAACGCAGTGAAATTACATGACATGGAGGTATGATATATACATTTTTCGGAATAGCAACAAACAAAACATGTCGTTTAAGTGAACTCAATAACAAAGTCAAGTTCAACATTAATATCATATACAAAATAATCAGCATACATTAATTTATTATATTAAGGAAGGTGTGTTATCATTTTGGTTTATATTTTAAAAAACTCAATATCGTATATCAGCACTTTAATTTGTCCATTAAGTTGATGCAGATTAATTCTATGATTATTATATATATTAAAATGGACATTCAACTCTAAATATTCTGCAATATTGTCACTTTGATAATGATGTGTCATTTTTTGTTCAGGTTTCTTATATAGCAACACATGACTGGTACCACGGGCGTACATGATGATGTGATGGCTGCGCTTCACATACTCGTAAGTACAGGCGACTTGACACCAATTGTATAAAAAAACTCTTACGTAATTTTTTGAAAAGGATCGTTTCTTTTCAAACATGCTATATTACTCGTATTAGTGCAAAGTTAGGTCCGAACGAAGCGTAACAAACGATTACGTATTAAATTAATCTAAGCATACTGTAGTCATTTAGGAAATTATTAAGACACGCCCAATTATCGTGTTCATGTTACGAGCATTTCATAATGCAGAACGCATCGATTGTATTATATACCATTACCAACAGTAGCCGCAAATTTATCGACTATTTTTAATTCTTAAACTCAAGAAATATGGGGTAAATGATGTACGAAGTAGTCTACGTGAGAAGGTACACAAGCTATTTGGCTACCGAAATAGGTAAGACAGACACATGTGTCTCGCCTATTGGAACTCGCTAGTAGCTTGAACTATAAGATATGTTTCAGTTAAAGTCCCCCGCAATAGCTACGCATCAATTGCACGTCATGAGGTAATGTGCGTGGTGCTGTTTATGATATACGCGACGGTTATAACTTATCAACAGTTGGAAAGTAAAGATATAATATATTATAACAATCACAAAGGTATATTGTTATTTAATAGCAATATAATCATAGTATTGGTATAGACAAGAGTATAGGCAGTGGCACTGGTAGTTTTGAGATTATATCTATTACACAAGTTACAAAACGTATGTCGGTATGTGGGCCATTTTATTTTTGAAATCATTTGTTGACAGGCACTATAAGTAGGCACTCACCCATACATAATAATTTATAAACAAGTTTTATTATAGGCAAAATTATGCCTACGTTGGTCTGCACGATATTTTTGATAACGTCACACGAAGCCTGAAGCCAAATTGCATTACGTTACATTAAAATAATATAAAAAAGTGAAGTGAAAATTACACCATATGTCTATAAGACATACCTATATGCATAATATGGAGCAATATTGTTATATAAATATTAATAGGTTGTCTGAATTAACTAAATAAAAAAAAATTCTTCAAAAATTAAATTGTACCTAAGCAATAATCAAATGATTGGTTTAGTACTTGATTCTGAAGTGAAATCATAGTTTCAAGAAAAAAAGAATTTAAATTACTTTCTATAATAGTATTGCGTTATTTCCTTAGCATTTACATATAAAGAATTAATTTATATTTAGAGACTCAACTCGATTCTGTCTCTCGGATCTAAATAGCAAAATAATGATTACATATATCTAATAGCTTCATTTTATTATTACAAGTTAACAAATTGATATAAATAATAATAATAATAATATGAGCCCTTACTTTTAACACTTGGGTCACCCATGCAGTGTTGCGTTGCGTTGCGCAACAAAAATTCCTGTCTCAAAATTCAAGTCCGAAATCTGGTGCACTCTCACTCAGAGTGCGTTTGTGACGTAAAACCTGACATTACCACCTTCTCTTTAAAATAGTGCAATACATTTTTAACTTTGTAACTGCACTATACTCAAAGTTAATAGCATTATACTTGCTTGTCATAAGACAAGACTTTTTATAAAAAAAAAGTTGTTTGTTTCATTTACTTGATTAAACTACTGAATGAATCTTAATGAAATTTTACGTGAAGAAATATTGAGAAACTCATGCTTTTTACTGGGGCGATAATTGATTGTTATGACGAAATAACAAAAAAAATTAATGAGCTAATTAGTCAGATCGTAAAGGTTAATCTGTACATATTAATATACGAAAATGAGCGTTTTAGATAAATATATTATAAATTAAATTGTACCTAAGCAATAATCTACTAGACTAGTTAACAATGTCTAGACGACTTGTTAGGTCGTATTATCCTTTTTTTAAAGATATAAACTAAAAACCAGGTAAATATTTAAGTTTATCCTTTAAAAATGGTCAACGATTTAATTATGTATAATAATTATAATATTTTTTTACGATTTTCCCACTAAAGCAAAAATATTCAGAGGAAAAATGTAAAGTTTGGCTTTTAGGTATTATAGCTCATTTTATCGATAGATACTCGTTCATAGGAAATACCCCATCGGTATTTTTTTTGTTTTTGACAAATGATTAAATACAATTCATATGTACATAATTATGATAGCATAAATTATTGTTGAAAAGACAGTCATTTGACCGAACTACATCTTATAAAGGAATTTTGCTTGGCATTTGAAATAGAGTGTGCAAAGTATATCTCAGTATAATTAGATATCATGAAATTAATATTTTGGATCTGCCCACTGCACTAACAAAATATTATCACTTAAATATTTAGTTCTAGGTAATATCGAAATTATTTATCGAAATCCTATATTGATTTACAGTACTTTACTACTATTTACATATTATGTAAACAAATTGTAAAATGACGAACATTTTACAATTGGTACGATAAAAATATAGATTTAATTTTGATGTGTAAATGTTATGATTGCTTTTCAATGATTTCAGTGATAGGTGTTCCGTTGTTCATGTTGGTTTTATATTAAACCTGTCAAGTTGCCTTTGTAAAAAAGAAATACCATTTTTATTATATAAAGACAGCATATTTGTATGTTGTTTCATCCTCTGTAACATAGCTGTGTCCAATGGTAATTTCACGAGAATCGGAAATTGTCTATTGACGCTGCAGTTTGGCCCACCTGAACTATTAAATATATTAGTATAATACATAATTTTTATTATAATTATTATATGTTATTTATTTAACTTCACCTGAAGGTTCAGTAATGGTTCAGTGCCACTATTATATTGCTATGACTGTTATGTTTATTATATTGTGTAGATAAATAAATAAAATATTAATTGTGTAGGTGCAACAAAAGAAACAGACATATTTATTTTAACATAATAATAAAATCGTGACAAGGCGAAAACTGACTGATTGCTTATATGTTTATCTTAAGGTTTGAAAAAAGGCTAGAGTAAGTTGGATGTAGTCATCACAGAATATGGGTCAATATATAGGTAAAAAATATATAAAAATACTTTTTTGTTATAAAGAACTTTTTCTTACCTATTTTAAATACAACATCTATAATTGTTAATTAATTTATTATAAATGGCGTTGTATATATGGTTAATTTATATATGTTTATCGCCAATAGATTATTTTAAGAAAACACTGATCTGTAATATGTTTTTTGCGTGGGTCTCTTAGTGTCACCTATCACACCCGCCGTGCAGCTTTATTTGTAAACTATA